ACACACACACACACACACACACACACACACACACACACACACACACACAAAGATACACACACACCCAAAGACACACACATTCTCTCTTTCACGCACACGCACTCTCTCACATACACACATACACACTACACGTTTCAAAATTACATAGTGCATTTTTACCGTTGTGGTAAAAATCGTAAAAACGTGAAATTAGGTTCGACGTCAAAACGAAATAAAAATCACGTGCAAATATTTTCCCATTGTAACTTTACCAGCATCCGAAGTTTGAACAATAGACAAATATGCACGCTGTTCCAATTCACGGATTTATTCAACATTTATGCTTGCATGTTATAACAAAGTACTTCGAGTAGCGTACATACTGTATGCAATTCATAGCTTGGAATGGTCAGTTACCAAACAAGGAAACTTTTTGGCTACTTCGTCTACATAAATTTACTTGTTTACCTGTACAGTGGCTACTAGAAAACAGTTAATTTGTGATGGAATAGCCGTCGCCCACGTTTGCATATGCCGCCAAAAAGCATCGCGCCAACTTACGTCTAGTTAAGTTAGATGGGGTTCATTTGGCTACAAAGTTCACATCTGCGGCCGGCTGTGCTTGGCAATACTTGATATCAGGCTCTCGGGCTGGCACTCCGAACATGTTCTCGAGCCAAACTGCCGTAAACCCAATGATTCGACATATCGCAAAGGATTTGGAATGTTTTATGGTGACAGCTTATAATTTTCTCACCCAAGTCTAATTCCCGTTGAAAAATTACAAAAAAAACGAAACTTGGAACAGTGAACGGCATTAAAATTCGAAATTAATGGATAAACTTTGAAAAGAAGAAAGCCAGTGAAAAATATATAGGCGTTAGAGCAAAGGCGTGAAACCCGATGGTCTAACTTTATGAGGTTCGAATAAATATGTAGGCGACAGCTGAATATACAACAAATATATATAGGTAATGTTTTACGGCAAATGCCGCACATTATGGGTACTTTACCTAACGTTTCTACTTTATCAAATACCTTATCTAATTGTTGTCACGCACTTCGTTAATAAATACGTAAGTACATAATTATGATGTGGCTACATATCAGATTATTGTCTCGATTCTGCTGTTAATGGTATTCAATCGTTATTATAGTTATAAAGTGTCCGTTAAGATTGATTGATTGGATAGTGAAACGATAACTGATTCTGTTCCAGTTGATTGATTGGTTCCCCGGCTGGCTGCCATAGCGGTGTGTCCACTCGTAACCAGGCTTTATACCCAGTTCCATGACTGTCATTAATATCGAAATGGAATAATACAGATTATTGCTCATGGCACTTCATTGTGTAATATTGCTAACATTATACGGTGCTATAGTATCAGTATTATGGTGAAGTAGTATCCTGGTTGCGTAGGTTTTGAAACGTGTACGGTAGACGCTGAGAGGTGCGTCTGAAATATTAGTGTGAGAAACAAATAAATGATATTTACTTAACTCAAAATGGGACAAACTTTTGTGAGCTAGTTCTGCACAAAACAGACCTTATTTATAAGTATGAAATTATTTTTTCCCTTTCTTTTTTAAATATATTTGGCAAATAGGAAACTCTTTAGTTGTCTAAAATAAATTTTAGCCTGTATATAAATTTTAATAATCGTTCACGGGAAATGAGTTACTCGTTTATACATTTTCTGCAAAAAATACATTATTACATAAAATAAATACATACATTTTGAGTTAATACACTATTATATTAACAGTGCGATATACCTTTCAGAAATAAAGTATGCGCTTTTAACATAAAAGAGCTCAAAATTCCCTAACGGAATATCTCTAACAATGGAATGAAACTGATTTCACAGTAGATGAACGTAGTAAAAAATGAAAATTTTGAGGAATTTTGTATTTTTTTATGGAGTGATGTTTCGGGCCCTATAGTTTACTACCGGTATTTTGCATGCATTCTCTAAAATCCATTTCCATTTGCTTCAAATTTGAACGATAAGTAAAGTGCCACCAGTGACCGACATGCACCACTGTTCGTCATGTTTTTTTGAATTCATTTCTAATAAGATTTAGGATAAAACTTTCCATCATAGTAACACGTTTGTTATTGCTAAGCGTCAGTTACTAGGTAGTAGGTTCATTATTGGTGAGTGCCGATTACTGGTTAGTTAATTAGTTGATTTTCGGCGTTCCTTACTGGAAATTCAGAGATATTCTAGTTTATATTTTTTAGTAAGAATTATGATATTTTTTAAGTGTCAGTTACTAGGTAGTAGGTTCATTATTGGTGAGTGCCGATTACTGGTTAGTTAATTAGTTGATTGTTGGCGTTCCTTACTGGAAATTTAGAGATATTCTAGTTTAGATTTTTTAGTAAGAATTATGATATTTTTTTATGAAACACTACAGTATAATCTTTTTGAGGATTATATCTGCCAAGTAAACTAATTACTATTGATGAAAGTTTAAAAACAGAAAAGTTATGTCAAATTTAAAGACACTTTCCATAAAATGTCGATCATTGGTTCACCCTGCATTTATTTATTTATTTAATTATTATTCATACAAAACCAACACCTTCAAACATTTAATAAAAACAGGAAAAGAAACATAAAGCCAATTACATATATATTCTGCCTTTATTAATAAGTTTATTTATTATTGAAGGTTTTTAGAAAACAAACAACACTATTTAATGCCGAAGTTCGTCGTCAGTTTCTACTGCTTCACAGCTGTGGTACTTCGAAGATGTATCGGGACAGCTATCGGCTACGGAAATGTCGTCAGATGATGCCGCTGGGGCCTCGTGAGCGGCAAGAGGCATTAGTTCCTCATCGCCGCCGTAAGGTGTAGTCCCATCGTTGCGTTTCACTGTGCTGTTTATAGGTTGTTCGCGATCTTGAAGCCAGAATTCTGTGAAATATACAGAAAATTCTCGTAACATAATATTATTCTCTTCATTACCTCACGTCAGAAAATGGCAGTTACAATTTAATGAATGGTTGCATGCTTAAAGTGATGAAACCTGCACTATATGATGATAAGATGCTAAATCATCAAATACATGTTACGTCCACATCTCATTGAGTAAGCGTAGTGGACTATGTCCTTAAACCCTTTTTTTAGAGGCTAGCAGTGAGCTAGATATGATATGATTTACAAGTAAAATTTAATAGACAACTTCTGCGACTTGGATAACAAAAACCCGTGTTAGCGACCCGTTTAGCGCTCACAAGTAGTCTTGGTCTAAGACGTTTAAATTAAATCTGTGGCTCTAGTGAAAAGGGGTACAAATCAAAAATGCCAACTTTACAAGGAAACGCGACACTCAATATCATATTAAGCTTTAACTGTTTTTCGAGTCTCCTTGCAAAGTTGGCTTTTTTGACTTGTACCCCTTTTCACGAGAGCCACAGAAATGTTGTAATGATAAATGTATTCAAATGTATATTTACAAAGAGCAACACCCAGAGTTTCTTGCTCGTTCTTCTCAGGGGAATCTGCCTTACGAATGTGCAGTAGAGTTTAATTAGTATGACGATTTCAAGTGTAATTTGCTTGCCTATGAAATAAAGATTATTTGACTTTGACTATGACCGAGGAAAAGTTGTTCGAATCAAAAAATTCGCCCTCTTGGTGTAATAGACCACATTTCCAAAATGACAACTTTTCAGGGGAGAGGGTTAAAGATTCTACGGACTACAATTTTCGATATCTTGTATGCTTAAATAAGAGTTATAAAAAACCACATATATACATAAATTGTTTCACATATTATTTTAATGTTTTATTATATTAATTATTGAATTAAACTAGTTTTTAAATTCAACTATTTTAATAAATATTATTTTAATGACTTTCGTGTGATAAAAATACTTTCGACACATGATCATATGTGGCTTTTATTATACCAAGGGTATGAATTCGAAAGCTACACAAATTCAAATATGCGGAATTATTTTTTTCAGTTAAGTATGATAAAATACCACTATTACGACGTCGGTTGCAAGTCCCTACAACTGCAAATTTGTCTTATGATCCATAAAAATGTCTTTATGATTAATGAAGCGAAATTCGTTTGTTTAACCTTTATGTAACGTACTGGATCGTTTTTCTGGCGGTACTGGCTGCACGGTCGTCGGCGGCGGCAGCGGCTTCACTGTCCGGAGTCTTCTCGGGCTTCGTGCCAAAGCGTGCGAAATACTCGGCAACCTTATGTCCAAATGCGACCCTCTCTCAGTAATAATTTTATTATTCATCGCATACAGTTTAGTCGTTATATCCCTTGCTATAAGAGTGGTGACTACTGTTGCTAAATATTGCTCCTTTACGAAGAGATATTCGAGAGAGATGCGTTGCCAGTAGACGTACCGGCAAGATGACGCCGCTACTATTGAAACCTGTGTCCCAAGAAATACGTTTATTTAAAAAAAACGCACCATACGTTATTATCCGTAAACACGTTATTATTATTATTATTAGCAGTAGAGCTCCTTTTGAAAGACTTGAGCATTACTGCATTTCGGGTGTTGGTGAATTATAGGTACATTGGAATCTACTACATATGTTTCAGGGTAACTGGCGAAATGGCAGTGGTCCTCAAATTTTTGCGATTTAAAGCTCTGAGCGGCACTGTAACTGTTATGGATAGGCGTGTCGCGTTCCACCCGAGCGCACGACTTTTTCGTCCCGTCTACAGAAATCTAAATAATTTGATTTATGTGGTCAAGTGGTATTATAAAAAAAAAGAAATTCAAAAATAGGTTTCAAATGGTTGCTATGTAACATACATACACGTATTATTTGTAGCAGTAGAGCTCGTTTTGAAAGAATTCGTCCAGGGAAGTACTGCAATCTTACTTATTTTTGCCGTCAAGTAGTAATGTGAGCATTACTGTGTTCTGTTTTGAAGGGTATAAGGGTGCTGGTGAAATTACAGGCACATGGGACGTGTTAACTTATGTCTCAGGGTGACGGGCGCAATGGTAGTACCCCTCAGATCTTTGGCATTTTAATGCTCTGATTGGCACTGCAACTGTTTGAGGATAGGCGTTAGAGGTGGGAGATAAATAACGTCACGATGAAAAAATCACGATGATCCGCCGTCAAACAGTATCACCGTGACTCGTTCCGAAGGAACGACGTTCCAAAGTCACATAGGTGTTCCTCCGTTCCAATAGCTATCCCCGTCACTCACATCACGACATACGTATTTGATACAATCTCCGTTCCGTGGAGACTGAGCGCGCCACTCGTTGTAGTTCTCTTCAAATCGGGCCATTTCGGGAATGGGAGTGAGTGCGATAGGATGACTTTTTTTGCTCACTCACAAGGGTCGCAGGTGCTTATTACTGCTAGAAAGGGCAGATGAAAAAAATCCGCAGTAGTTACTATAAACCTATCTATTTACAAAGTAAAATATTTTTAAATATTTGTTTTATTATGGGAATTTTATATTTTTATGTATAATCTACTTTGTATATTCTACTAGAAATATAATTACATTACACTTTATTTGCTATTTTTAACAATCCAAAGATTCGCATTCAATAAGTAACAAACAAAATTACATTCAATACAAAATCAACTTTTTGAATGGAATTGAAACTTATTACAAAGCGAGTAAAAACCTAAATCATTCTATAAAAACCGGCTATAAGTATTAGAAAGAAGCCGCTGGCTAAAATCGTATATCGTGATGTAAGTTATAGTGATATAAGGTCAAGGAAGTAACAGCCGTGACAAAATCACGGTGATTTTTTTGGAACCGGAACGACAATCACGGCGATAGAAATGTAACGCTATTCCCCATGTCTAAAAGGCGTGTCGCTTACGACCAGGCCACGACTTGTTCGTTCCGTCACTTGGTATATTACTATTACAACACAATAGAAATGCAGGATTGGATGAAACATTACAAAACAAAGTACACAATTTCATAAGGTTGATCCAACTTTTTCTCGACTAAGTACAAAGTTTAGCTACTACGAGTTAAGATAAGAAAACATAAACAAAGTAGGAAACTTGCCGTTTACGGCTTAATAATATTAAGCCGCGTCTTGGCGGTAAATTTTATGGTTGAAATTTTTTATAAGTAGGTACTTTCGGTTCATTCGCTATTTACCCCAGTTCTTGCATTTATAGCCACTTTGGTTGTTATAGTGCCGTATCAGACAACAATTAGGTCACCGGAATGGTGTAGGTAATGTCAAAGCGCTCGATGACCTATTAGCGAGGATCCAATCGTGAAACTTGCCGTCAAGGGGATAGTTTTGTGTTTTTTTATCGGATGTTTTCGATAGGTACCTCCCTAATTTTACGTCGCAGCGTAGAAACCAATATTTTTAAAATGTTTTTTATTGTTTACCCGATCTTAGTCTAATGACAGCTATGTAGATATCTAATAAAGTAAATTTAAGAGTTAGTTGTCCGTTTTTTCAGGAGATTATATAGAAAAGCTCTTATTAGATGGGCAAGGGCTTTTTATGTAATTTAGGACAGTTAGAAATTTGACCTTTAGATAGTTTATTATATATATGAGCACTTGCGCTTGTCATTTTCTCAAGATTGACTTCAAGAGCACGTTTTTTTATCTATTAAGTAACTTAATAAATATAAATAAAAATAAAAATAATAAATAAATAACTTATAGGCACATTGTTCTAAAGCAATGCCGACTTAAGTATATTTGCCATATATTTTAACAATTCAAAGCCTAAAGATATAAAAATGGATAAAACTTATAAAATAAGTCATGGCTAACGAATAAATTATATTAGTAATAAAATTTACACGCGTAAGTCGCAGGAATATGTCAGAAAAATATGTGCGCATTCATGCGCTTTCTACAATGCACTTAATTTATGTGAAAATTTAAAAGCTCCTAAAATTGAGATTATTTAAAAACAACTAAGCCATTTGGTTGTGATGTTACTTCTACAGAAATAAATCCATTGTAATAATTACATAAATTAAGATAATTCTTATTTCTTATAAATTGTCCTGTAAAAAATAAACGGGCTCAAAAGTTTTGTGGTGGAATACATCTATTTGCTAAGTTATATTCATTTACCTACAGGTGGAGTATTTTTTTAAATTTAAATGGGACCACTATTGGAGGTATCCTCTTTCGAACAAAAAATAATTATCGAAATTGGTTCACAAATATTTTGGAGTAACATACACACACAAAAAAATATATACTCGAACTGAGAACCTACTACTTTTTTGGAAGTCGGTTAAAACGACGTTTATAAAACCATTACATTTTATAAACAACCACAACATTCAATATATACTTATATATAAATTGGTATGGAGCTCTACTGCACCGAGTGTGCTGCTTGTATATGTTTACGATCCTATGATTTGGATATGAGTTTAGTTGTACCTTCTGGATAACAATTCAACACAATATACATGAAGATATTGGTTATCGAATATTATCTACATCTGAATGTTTACAGTTACGCATATTCATGTGTAATTACCAGAGACTAGGCCGGCAAAGCAGATATAGTTACATAAACTATAAGCAATACAAATAGGGTGCAAAACACGGAACAGTGAAAAGTTAAAACCCGAATAAACACAATACAATTTATATTTTTATTGAGTTCTTATTTTTTCGCGCTACACATTGGAAATATGACAATCAACAAAAATAAAAACAAATGTACCCGATTCAGATCCGAAAAATAATACAAAGCTATATAAGGTTTGTACTTTTTTTTTAAGTTTATAATAAGTTTTTAGTTTAAGTTTATATAAAGTTATATAAATATCAATCTATTTACAAATTTTTTCTTCTATATACGTTACCGTAAAAAGGAATTGCTAGTAATGCATACATAATATAGAATAAAATGCGAGATGTTAATTTCCGGAAAGAAGGGTAGAGTGTTATATATTATGTTTACGGAATTCACGGGGCACTACCCGGAACACCCAGCCCAGAAGCAATTTAGAAACGTTCATTTCCCAAAATGGTTTTACCGAGAATCGAACTCGGGACCTCCTCATCCAGCACCCACTGTGAACCGTCGAAAAACTCAAGGTCGTCTATCGTTGACTAAATTCGTAACCTCGTAGCTTCATTAAAGTGAACTTTTGAGTGCAGGCACAAATGACAGAATTACTAGAAATAGTTATATAAATGACAATCTATGACTATACCTTTATTTTATTAGTAATTTATTAGTAAAATAAAGGTACAATCATGTACCTATTATCTTTATACCTTTGTATACTTTGGTCTATAAATTATATTTTAAGCCTCAATTACCCGATATTGCGCTCGAAGAGTAAAAAAGGGATTAATGTCCAAAAACGAATTTTTAAAATTTAGCAGACGCTATGTATTATTTACACTTATTTATACTTTACTTTTATCATTTCCTAAGCTTAAAACCTATATTAAAAATATATTATTTCAAAATTGAAATTACAAAATTGAAGACTACGTGCTAGACAGATGTATGGAAACACGACATGACTGTAGATTCTACACAAATTCCCTAGAGTTTCTTGCTCGTTCTTCTCAGGAAAATCATCACAATGAACGAACAGTAGCTTAAAAATTCAAGTGTAATTTATTTTACTTACTATGCAATAAATTATTATTTGACTTTGACTTCCTTGAACTTTGGGTTAATATATAATAAAATTAAAAAAAATAAATAACGCACACACTCATAGCCCCACACTACCCATGGACACACATAGGACAACCACAAATTACAACCAAATTCACGAAAGGAATAATTGAGAAGGTTATGCAAATATTTCTACCGGCCCGGGAATTGTACTCGGGATCACTGCGTACAGACCAGCCTGGTAACTGTTAGGCCACGGAGGCAGTTAATATAGTAATTCATATCTCTATCTCTCGGTTGTACCTCTATTACAAAATTTGGTGCAGTCACTTGTTTTTTTACCAACGAAATACTAACTCCATTTACCACCTACAAATGTATTAGTCAGCTCAGGGCTGACGCGACCTTTGAACACAAATAGGCCTTTGAGTGTATTGTTTAAATAGGTCAAAGTTGCGGAACATTCCCTGTGTTTGTGAAACATTCTCTGTGTGAAAACGGCCCCCTTGAATAATGAACTCATCAGTGCCTCTCAACCGTGTTAGTTAGCCCCATTACCTTACTTAACAAGGTGATGCTCCCTCTAACTGACGTCACTTCACGTGAAATAAAATTTCAGATTGACAATATAGACGAAGAATAATAGAGGCTATCAACGCAAAACTCCTGTAGCCCACGATAATTTTTTTTAAGAATGTTATTTTAAATTACCAAGGTACTTAATTATTTTATATTTGGATGCTATTTTCATGTATAAAAAATATTTAATTGTGGAAGTAGTAGTAGAATCGGATCTACTCTTACGAGACAGTATATTGCCAGTTTAGTGTCGCTACTTGTGTTCTTGTATAGTGTTTGAATTGTATAGAACACAATTCAAAGTCAAAAAATGTGTAAACAATTGATCCTGTCTGTGCAGAAATCGAGTAGCAATTGGTCGGTGGTTAAATCTGCTAGCAACACTTAATAAATAAAATTTTAGAATGTTTTCTGTTTTTAATTACAATTTTTTTTTATTCATTTTACATATTGTAAAGTGTGGTGTTTAGTATACACTCCGCTTGCCGGTCTCATGCAGCAACCGAATAGCTTTAAGGTGAAACCTGTAAATCAGTAACTGATTTACAGGTGAAAAGCTGAGTCTTCATACTTTTTGTCCACATCACTGTCCTTTTGTTATAATTGTTCGCTTATATTTGTTTATGCGTTTTGTGGATATTTTTTTTTTTAAATCTTATTTAATTAAATTGAATTTAAGCTTTTATTGTCTTATTTACCTTACTAGTATATCGTAATTAAATAATATTAAATTGACAGGAAATTTATTTCATAAGAAACTTCTACTCAGTTTTAACAAGATCATTGCTTTTATGTTACTTTTTGTTCTCTGCTTTTATCCCAATATCGATTATATATACAGATTCTATTTTAAAAGAGCGACGGTAGACTTCAGACGAGATATATTATTTTTGTTAATGAGCTGGCATCCGCTAATGGAAGAAAACACTGACGCTGTTTTGGTTAAATATTTTATTCTTTAATGCTGTCTAAAACATGGACCAACTTATATACGAAAAGCTTTTAAAATGACCAACGTAAAACACAAAAAGGCACATAAACAATAATGCAGAGATTTGAAAGCTTGGGGAACAAGGATACTTGCCTTGAATTTTTCATCGATCGTAGCTCGGCTAGATTCAAATTCCGGCGAGTCGAGGAATTCGCATGGCAAAATTGGATGCAGGAATTGATGCCCACTCATTACGTTTACCTGTTTATAAATACATAGTTATCATACCAAATTTTTGTCAACAATAAACAACTTTTATTAACAATGCTTAAATGATTCATAAAAAATTGTTCTAATGCTTCCGATTACCTGTACAAACAAATTAATTTACTCTAAATAAAAAAGACAAAGAAATTGTGCTAAGTATTATACATTTTCTCCAAACATGTTTTCGATAAGCAACGATAATAGTGTAAAGGTGCTAGGAAAATAGAACGAAGTTGTAAAACTGATTGCAATTCAGAGTAAAGTTAAAATTTAATCCGCGCTAAGTGCTTTTGCGATATTGACCGGCTTGTGTGGCGTGACTTGGCCAAATATCCAATCAGTATCCGTGCCTGCACCGTTGTTGATATGCAAAACATATTTCACTCAGATTTTGCCGCCACTCACATGTGACGGCCATGAAGCGAGCGTAACGAACATGTACATAATGACATTTTAAAAAAGAGGGTACGTGCTTACGAACAATAACCCCATATTTCGCATCCTCGGTGTAATAAGGGGACGCCCAAAATTACAACATCAGCAAACTTTTAGAGATAAAGTAGAGCTCCTTGTAAAAGAGTTCGTCCAGGATGTACTGCCACTTTACATATTTCTGCGGCCAAACAGTAATGTGAGCATAGTAATGTGTTCCGGTTTTGAAGGGTAAGGGTGCTAGTCAAATTGTGCTCATGGTGACGGGCACAGTGGCAGTCAGACCTTTGTGATTTAAAGCACTAAGTATTACTGCAATGGTTATGGACAGGCGTGTCATTTACCACCAAGTGGGCGACAACAACACTTTTGACGTATGATCACAAGCGACTTTATTATACCAAGGGTACGTTTATCTGTTTAATAGCTGTGTGTGCTTTGCTACTGTGTTCTTACCAATGATCTCTACAGTGTTATTTGTAAAATAGTAAGAACCTCCCAGGGCTATATTACTAACATCATAAACAACAACTTTTGTTCCATGACTTTTAATCATTCATCAGATTTTATTTTCATATAAAAATAAATAAACTATAACGAAATAACTTGATTACCTATGAAAGGAAATATCGTGATAAAACCTGTTAAAGAAAATTCACATAATTTTTTGAACCCACGTTTTATCAACCAAGTTTTTAGGATATAGAAAAAAAACACATCGTGATCGATGATTTGTTCGAAAGGGATCGCTGTGGGCTGATAATGTAGTGCCGTCTAGAGCACGTCCGGGCCGTTAGCCGCGCTCCGTATCGTGATAGGTATTCATTGCAAACATTGGCACGTGCACTCACAAAAATTGTTTCAAATTCTCCCCCTGTGCCGTGTACCGAACCGTGGCGTACAAACTTGCCATTACCATATTTGGTGGTTTGAAGTATAAGTTGCTTGCATAAGTATTTTGGCCATAAAGTGGAAGTGGAACATTTTGATACGTCGGCAAGTAGCGGAAACGGGAAAGCTCCAATTAAAAGCCTCGCGAACACGGTGGAGTTGGTGAAATTAAAATCTTGTGAATCGTACATTTTATTTATTGGGTTAATTTATTTTCCGTTTCGCAACACAAAAGAATTAAAATTCGCAAGAAGTAGGGTTGCTAATTAGCAACGTTATTTCTACTTTTATTTTTATACACAATTACCGGGGTTACCAGATGGAATACCAGCTTAAGTTAAAAGGTCCGGAATATCAATACAAGATATGCGCCGAGTTTATAAAATCTTTGTTAGCACAACTGAATGTTCTGTCTCTGTATTTAGCTGTATACTTATTGCAAGTTAATTAAAATAAATATTTTTACAAATAAAATTTGGTTTCCAGGCACTCGTAACTCAAATGGCTGACTGATGGCACACATTTTGTGTAGGGATACTCGCTCAGTTGAAATTTAGCCGAACCTTTTTATTATACCCTATAGTAGACACATATATGGATTTTAGGAACGTGCTCTGCGTCCGACACGAATCCGAAAAAACATGAACCGAAGTTTTTATAGTGCTATTAGTAGAAGGATTTGTGTACTGCGTACACTCAGTAATAAGTTTTATAAAATCAGTAATATAAGTGTTTACAAAATTTTTAAAATAATATTCATACAACGGCGTCACATAACATTTAGAAATATATATATATATATATATATGTATATAAAGTGTGAGAGTATTGAATTTCATGTTTTTACAATGATTTTTTTTTGGTGAAAATTCGTACTCCAATAGTAACTTAGGATTATTGATACAAAGATCGAGCAATACAAAGAAAAATTCCTTCGATCTGGCTGAACTCGAACCAGCGTTTGTTGCCACACCGGGACCAGCGCTCTTACCAGCAGAGCTACAGATCGAGTGAGCAGATCTTAGCGCGTTTGTGCACCGCATCCGATTCGTATTCGTTCCGAACCCAAAGCTATACAAATCTAGAAAACTCGAACCCACTTCGGATGTCGCTTGTGCACTGGGTACGTCCGATGCGAATCCGAGAACGAATATCGCTTGTACACCTAGAAAAAAAAATATCTCTGTGACATTTCGGGCCGTTACTTTCTCGGATTCGGAACTGGGGGTCTACTTTCGATCTCCGTCCGACATCCGTCCGAAACAATTACTGCCAAATAAGCAATACTTGACCAAATGAAAAGACGCGTGATGCGAATGAAGCTTCATACTGGATACTTGTCTTTTAATTTTGTCGAATATTACTTATTTGACAGTAATTGTTTCGGACGCATGTCGGACAGAGATCGAGTGTAGCCCCCCTGATATGATTAGGATGTAGCAAACGCTCTTTTGCTGTATTTGGCTCAAACGACTTCTTTGCCGACGTCAGCACCACATGTAATAAACTTATGAAAGTTTCTTCACTCAGTTAGGTACCTTTACAGCTATTAAAGGCTGACGGGAGATGTCGCTATATTAATTGCAATATTTATTTTATTGAATATAAAAGTAAAATAAAATATTTACGCGTTTATAATTAAATTCCTGGAGAGATTAAAATTTGCCGTTTACCAGGTTTGATACTATCTTGTGACAAAAACTTTATAGGAAAGATTAATGTTAACGTAATCAGTCAATCAATTTATTTGTTTGTCAGAATGAGGTACATTATCATCTTATTTTAAATAAATCCAACTTATTCTACCATAGTCGGCATGGAAATTATTAGTTATTATTATTATTATTATTATACAGCGTGTGTATTAGATGAAATGATCTTATACACGTATATGAGATCAATGATTGGATGACGAAATCCATGGAAGTGAAACGTTTACATCTTTTAGGTTGCTTCTAAGTATGATATTTTAAATAATTATATATTATTATTTATTGTAAACATTGACTTACAAATAAATGGACGACGGGTCTAATACAAAAACCACGAAAAAAATGTCCCAAGTCAACCTATTCGAAATTTAAATTGTAATGTCATCGCAGTATCGCGCTGTCAGTCGAACAAATGAAGACTAAAGCAGAGTTTGGCGCTCTGTATACGATTTTAGCGCCTTACAAGTGCGGACACTTTTTAGCGCAGACCCGACGTCCATATAATTGTAAGTCAATGATTGTAAATGATAAATATGACCAAATATCCATTTAGGTACAAGGAGCAACGCCTAGAGATTGTTTGTGGTGTTTAATCAATTTGATCAGTCCAGTGTGTGGCTTTGAAAAGCTCCGAAATATATTCAAAATTTTGACAATCCCTGGACCGAGTCAAATGAACATTAATTATAACGTTTTTATATCGAAAAACCGACCTCAAAAGTATGTGGACTCTGTTAATGGATGTCGTTGAAATCTAATACACCGGATTCATCCCCGTAGAGGTGGACTATTTCCTCGAAATTTGAATGGGACTATTAATGAGGTACCCCGTTTCCAATAAACAAAATAGTAATCGAAATCGGTTCCCAAATGTCGGAGTAATCACGTAATACACATGCACGCACGCACGCACGCACGCACGCACGCATGCACGCACGCACGCTCGCATGCACGCACGCAATCACGCACGCACGCACACACGCAAGCACACACACACACAATGACATGAACTGCCAACCCCGAAAATGGTTAGCAAGAATGTACAAATAAGTTAGGGCTCTTTTACATGAGCGATTTTCAAATAACGTTAGAAACGCGGTGTTTATTGCTGTCCATACTAATTGCATGAAAACGCTAGAAACCTTTCACACGATAGCGTATACGAGGCGCGTTTCTATTTACATTTTAATTCTAGTGTTGGCATTAACGAGTTCTGTGCAGTTCAATACAAATGACCAATTAGTGTGGACAGCCATAAACTCTGCGTTTCTAAGGCCTTGTGCTATATAGTGCGCTAAACTTTAATCAAGTAGAATTTCTGTATTTTACTTATCACAGCAATAAATTATTGCATAAAAAATAAAATACTGTCTCATCACATGCACGGCTTACCTCTTGAGAATAGTGCCACAATACATTAATTATCAATTTATTGCCAGGGTGTTTTAAAAACTGACAAAATAAATAATAATCTATGTACTGTTAAAAACCTCAAAATTGGCAATACCGAGCTGATTTTTATGTTTATTAAATAAATTGTCTCTAGGGGTGCCTATAGATCTGGCGAATGCGCCGCAAATGTTCCTGCTTGTGAAAGGCTCGAGGTAAGGTAAGGTGAGGTAAAGGTAGTGCGATCTGTACCGATCTACCATGTATTTAACTGCATGCATGCAGCATGCGTGCAGTCCGCGAGCAGTGCGCGCACAGTGCACATGCAGCGCATTCGCTAGATTTGTACGTACCCTAATAATACGACTGAAGGACTTGAATTCAAGGTCATGAAATAGAAAAAAGTGCTATTCGCACGTATACGAGAAAGAATGCGGCGTGAAAAACTGAAAAACGTTTAAACATGGTTTGCAGCATTATCGTCTGTGCAAGCTACCTGACAGTTCATTTAATGTTTGAGTTCGATATCGAACTTTTAAGTTTTTGCAATAGTTTTGCAAAGTATTTACTAGTTTTGCCAAGTTTTTGCAATAGTTTTGTGATGTGTACAAATGAGACAATTTTTTCGAACCAAAATACGAGTCAGCCGTAATCACAGGACCTGTAAAGGGCCCGAAACGCTGGCTTACTCTAAAAATCAATTATCCACGATTTAGATTCGAAAAAATAGTTTCATTTCCAATCCCAGTTTGCAGTGTCATGCGAAGTTTCAGATCTGACGTAGTGCACAAATGCTCCTACTATGGAAAATTAAAAAAAGTAATTTCTAGAACTTACCTTACCAGACAATAAAAGCCCTAGTCGATCTGTCTTGGTGAGGTTCTGCATCGCATATGCTTCGCCTGCATGCAACGACATCACGTGAGCGAAGTCCGGAGACACCATCCGCTTAAACTGTAGCCTTGATACCTTGATACCATTTTGAAATAAAAAAAATATTAATTAAATGTTCGGTATATTTATTACAGACCTATTTTTCTTATGGTTAAAATATGTGCATATTTGTCATCCATCTCGCCTGATGGCGGTGAAGTGACGATGAGGTCTACGATAGAGCCTGCACATTTATGTAATGCCTATTCATTATTCTAAGTATTATTTATATTATCAAAATTCGAAAAAGACAAAATTCTATTGTAAATATTAAAAAACTATCGAGAATTCTTGTGTAACATAAATAAATACGAGATAAGTATGTAGGTTCTCGTTTATAAGATAAAAATAGACGACCATATTAATTATTCACACTTATATTCACAATTAACCACAGATTAAGTTGTACAAATTTTCTTTATAGCGCTCATTCCCAGTCGTCACCACTGGCTTTGTACCCACTACTCACGACAAATGGCAAAAAACTCATATGTTACCAGGTTATCAGGTAAAATATCCCAGTAGTTGGCAGTGTTGTATTATTGTATGGTATTGGAAATATCTGATGTTTAAGACCGATTTTTTAACAAGATCTGTATTTTTGTAATTGAACTGGAATTTTATTTTATTCTTCGATGGGGGCAATAAGCAAACATGAATTGGGATTTTTTTTTATTCCATTTGTATAGTTGTAGAAATATTATTTGCACCGATGAATGTTATCTTTTGGAACTACTTATCATTTCTATTACAATAGAACCGTTAACATTTCTTTTAAATAAAAACGTACATGAACTTAATGATCTTGGTTCATCGTAAGAATCATGAGTGCGTTAAATGCTTTTTTGAATTCTAGTTTTCAATTATTTATTAACTCATCAGGTCGTTTTTTTTATCTACTAGATACATTGTAAAATACCAACTGCCGACTCTTTGTTTATTAATTCAACAAAGTTAGTTCCGCATAAATATTACCAAGATTAGAATTAAGTGTCAATGAGTAAACTAGTTGTTTGCATTATACAGATGACACATGTGTGGCCGAGACGGCTCACTCTTTTGTCCTATTGTATTCTAAAGATACGACGAATCGGTGCAAGTAATATTTCGCCAACTATACCACTGCGATATTTTAAATTCTATTTGTCGCCAATGGCAACAACTTCTTTTTATCCCATTAGTCACCACCTAGTAACATATAGTTTTATTTCCCATTTGTCGCAAGTGGGAACAAAGCCTGTGGTGACAACTGGGAATAATCGAAAAAAATCAGTCTTAAACATTAGACATTTTCAATACCATACAATTATGCAACACTAGCAACTACTGGGCTACTGGGATATTTTAAATTTCATTTGTCGCCAGTGGCAACAACAACTTTATAACCCATTTGTCACCACCTGGTAACATTATGGGGTTTTGCCCATTTGTCGCCACTGGCAAGAATTGTTTTTTTCTATCCCGTTTGACACCACCTGGTAACATATATGGGTTTTTTTCCATTTGCCGCTAGTGTATAAATTGTGTATAATAAACTCGTTCGAAATAAGTTTCAACAAATAATATCAAAAGAGAGGCTAACACATTATATCAAGGCCCTACTATAAAAACAACTGATGATATGAAAAACGATATAAATAACGCTTACCTTAAAAGGCTCAAACAGAGTATGGTAGACTTCTTCAAGCTCTGGGTCAAATTTGACTGGCCTCATCTCGTAGACTAAATAGACAACTTGAGCCAAATTCAGGAACATGAAGCCGAAATTCCAGGAGAACGCATCCGGCGAACAAATTACGTGCCATGCCCATACTGAGTACAGCATGAACGCTGGTGGACGGAATGTTGGTATGAAATTCAAATTTAATGGTAACCTTAAAGCCATGGTTCCCAAAGTGGCTTATGTTGACCCCCCAGGAATACACTTTAACTTATAAGGGGTCCATGTCAGCGAAAACAATAAGGAGTACATGAGACGTAGACGCGAGAGTGGATTCCACTTAGGTAGGTCGTGACCAAAATTATTAATTATTGTATAAACGGAATAACCCAAATAACACATACACACATATACATAGATAGATCTAAGTTACTTGCATAATACTTTCTTAAAATAGACATTGATCACATGAATTATGAAGTAGGTAAACATTTCACAACGAACAAGATATGGAGCTATAATATTCCGTTAGTTAAATGTAATATATGTTTAATATATGTTTCGTTTTACGAAGTTTCTCACTACGCTATATAATAATTTAAATATATAATTGAGTAACATTATATTCGCTGTCAAAAACACATTCGAAGTTGATGAATTTGTCAAAAAATATCCATATTAGAAAGACAGTTCTTTAGTAGTAGTATAGCTCCTTACCCATTTCTGCCGTCAAGCGGTAATATGAGCTTTATTGCGTCCCGGTTTGGTAGGTTGAGGGTGCTGGAGAAGTTACAGGCACAAGGGACTTCTCAACTTATGTCTCAGGGTGACGGGCGCAGTGACAGTGCCTTTAAAATCTTTGCGATTTAAGGCTCTGAGTGGCACTGCAACTGTGATGGATAAGCGTGTCGCTTACCGCCATGCGCACGACTTGTCCGTGCCGTCACTAGGTGTTAAAAAAAATTAAAAAGACAGAAGTGTACGAGACAAAAAAGTTTGGGAACCTCCGCTTTAAAAAACAAATCTCACGTTGATGTTTAGTTAGATTGCAGTTTAGTTACGTAAATTTTGCTGACCTTGTTAGATACCTCTGTATCTTGTGCGGCATTGTATTTCTAAAAAACAAAGCTTAATGAATAAAATATATTAATGAACAGATAAAGTTTAAGCCTTACCAAAAATTAATATAGTATGCATCCAAAGCTGCCCCTTTTTGGTGCTAGGAGCACAGTATGACGCCACAAACAACATATTGGACAGCTAAAACGCAATGGAATATTATAAACTTCATAATTACAATATTTGAAAAATGTTATAATTTTCAAAGCCTCACCTGGAATAAAGGATGTTGTGGTATCCTCCACATAGGACACCAGGGCCAGTACCATGGACCTGAAAGTTAAAAAAATCAACTTCCTTTGTATGTATCTTCAAAGTAAACTAAAGCAAATAAATTCTATAAAAATCGAAGAAGGGAATATATAGGTTAGGAAATTACCTGATGGCATTGTATAATTTACTGCTCCAAAATCTTGTAATGTTCCATTTTCACCAGGCCATGAAAAATTTACTTCGCCTATTTCCATATACTCTTGTTTTACTCCAGCTAAACCACCTCGGTGAGCCATTTTCTATTTTATAGAACTTTCTTTTGATTTCTCTGCCTCAAACACTACTCTTTCTACGCTCACTTCATTCTCTTCGCGCCAAATCAATAACATCCGCTTTTCCAACACTTTTCTTTCAGCGGTGCTAGTGTCATCTAACGAAAAGATTAGTAAAACATATTATTATTGTCTATGGTAAATTTAAAAATTGCCAGTTGTGGAGAACTCCTCAGTACTCTGATGAAGACACTAAGAAATCAAGATTTATTGAATTAGTGTCTGTTTTACCTTATGATGTAACATGATAATAGTTTTTGAGAAAACTGTTTAAATTTCAGGATCAATATGATTCTACAAGAGTCAAGGCAAATAAATAAAAAAATATTTTGACGTAACTCTGCTTTGTCCATGCATGCTGTCATTCTTCATTCTTCCTATAAGGTGTATGGTGTGGTGAATCGTGCGGTTTCATTATTTTATGAAATCTCATATAATGTTTGCGATGAGGTAGCATCGACAAACAGTAATTAATCAAACTCAATCTTGTTAATGTGCCTTAATTTGGTTTTGTGCTGTAAGTATCAATACGTTACTGCGGCAATGCCGAACCCTACCAGTACCACCGTTGCCGTTGGTAAGTCCAATTTTTAACACTTGACTAAATATTATATCACTTTGTCACGAGGCATTTACTGCAGAAATCAAATTTTGCAATGACATATCGCATGACATGCTAGAAGAACTTTCATAGTTTGTTAGCACAGTGGTGAGTTAATTGACCCCTAACCTATCGAAGCTATAATATGATCGTACTGAGCAATAGGTACGTACTTAATCTTGAGCACGATAACTGTTTGAAGATCTGCTAACCAAGTCATAGAAAATTAAATTATTGGCCATAAATTTAGTGCCAATTTTGTATTTGGCAATCAATTTTCCAGATTCGAGTTATTATTAACTCACATACCAGTGTTGATCTCTTCTTAGTACAAAATTAGTCATTACAACAAATTAGTACATCATATTATTATTAGTGTTCATGTCATGGTTTACAATTTTACATAACAGTTGCATACAAGTTTATTCAAAATCTGACCTATTAACACATGTAAACACACACACACACACACACATCAATTTCAAAAGTCTAAGTCATCAAACCAATAAACATTTCATCTCTGGCCCTTTGAATCAATTTAAATGAGTTCCCCGCTTGTCAATCAGGCAGCCTTGAAGACTATTTATTTGTCTTAGGTCATTTTAATTAAGTTTCTTTCCATTTATAAATAAAAACCTGCAATTTGTGATACCACAGTTTGATCTTTACTTGATTTACTACTGTACTGCTAAATTAATTTCATCAATGTATTTAAACATTGTCACTGTTCCTGTTTTTGCAATAGCCAACACACTCAAAAGAGAACACACTTGTGAACCACATTGTTTACTTTGCATATGTCTGAAGTGTCCTTGAATACATTACCTCTGTATAATATTTACAAAACGCGTGTAGAATGTGTTCAAACAACTTATTACATTTTTACAGTTTAAATATAGTGTTGTTGTTTAATTCATTGACAGTTGGCGATAGAGGATCTTAATTAATATGTTTTTTTGTATGGCATTATTTGGAGTTAGTTTGATTCTCTAGAACTAATTGCCGTTATTGGTTTACAATCCAATGCCATCATACAAGTAATTTAGAATACCCTACCATTAAACTAACAATGGATAAAATGCAGTGCCACAAGGTTATAAATATACAAAGGCTTAATATTTTCCTAAGTAAAAATTTGTAACTAATGTAACTCTGCAGAAAATATATAACTATAATAGTTTATTTCTCAAACACAAATACAAAAAGCCTCAAAGTTAAAAATTATAGCATTTGTGAGAGACTGGAGTCCATACTCAGTAAACTAGACCTGTGTTATAACTCACTTGGCTCTGTTAAAATATTGTATGTATTTATATAAAAATGTGGTCTGGGTATATAAACATGTATCATTGAACATTGAATACATTGAAAAATCTATATATCAAATCCAAAACATTTCATTTTAATTATAAAGTAAAATTAGTCACTTTTCAAAATGATTGTCACTAAACCTGACCTCTGACAGTACTATAAATCAAATATTGTATGAAACTCAAACCTTACTTGGCCACTCATTAAAAAATTCTTATCATATAGTTAATGATATAAAGATGCAAGCTCATTGCCAATATTACAAACACTGCTAAATTTGATACAATGCAGTACAAGCCTATATCTCATTTATGTATTTTTCCACACTTTACTATGCCGGGGATACTGTTGGACTAAATATAAAAACACAACTTTATTTCTATTCATAATTTTCATTAATATTAATTTGTTATTACTGAAATGATAATTTATGTGTATGTGTTGGTTAAAATGTGTATAATGTTGTCCAGTTGTGTGTTTATCTTTATTGATTGGTGATAGCACATAGTGTTTGCACTTTAGATAATATTTATGGAATATATTGTGTGTTTCTAATTCATTTATGCATATTTATGTCTTACACAATATCAAACCACCACATGTGCACCTTGTCATTAAAATATTAAAGTTGTCTTCGTTTGTTACAACAACAGAGTAGTAAGTAATTATTTGTTAACATACATACATTATTAACTTGTGATTACAATTAATTTTATGGTTTAATTTTCTAATAATTTTCATATCAGATTGCACTTAATTTTCAATCTCATCATCTGTTTTTGTTTATCATGTTCTTAATCAAGTATTTTCCCTAGTAATTTGTAATGCCTCAACAACAGGATGAGGCAACACTCAAGTCGTCACTGAAACTAATGTTGTCATTCTTGTTTTGGTTATACATTTATCAAAATATCTAATAGCTCTTTGATGCAGTTTATTCTACACGAAAATAATATTCCGTATTTACATTGTTTTGATAAGATATGTGTGTCTATTCACTAATTGACATGTTAAGCTTTCTATTACATACATAATTAAATCAATAATTACAAAAACCAGCCCATCGTTAGGTATAAAGCATTAGTTCCTCAACAAATAATAGTAAGAGCATTGCTATCAATGGGCATCAATATTCAAAGCATGTGATTCCATAAGAAGGTGAAATGTGTGACTGGGATTACCATCATTAAATTTAGTATTTCAGTTTACCTTGTTATTTTATTATTATTTTGAACTTTGAGAAAGTTAATTTTGTGCAGAAATCTTGTTTCAATTATTGTCTTCATGTTTCAATTAGATGCATATTTCAATTAGTATAAATTTGTTTCATTGAGAATCTTCTAAGGTATGGCGCTTTATTATGACTCTTTTGTTTGTCTAAGTGCCCATAGATAAAGCAAACACAGTGTTATCTCCAGCGCCCAACAGCTATCCCCGGTTTAGAGTGCAGACCGTTTGCTTCATGTTGCAGATGAATACGAAGTTATAGGCGAAACTCAATGGCAAATATTGGAAACCAATTCTGACGAACACATCATTAAGATACATGGTTTAAGGTATTCCAAATGCCGTGCTGTTCTTTTCCACACATTTTGCATTGGGCTGTGTGGTATACCTTATTATGTTTTCTCATACTATCCTCGCTGCCACCGTTTCAAGTATGTGAACTGCAGTTTGAAAACGGCTGATACTATTGGATGTAAGTATCCTTTTTAACTGATCAATTTAAAAAAAAACAGGAGGGTCTCAATTTGACTATATTTTTTTTTTGTAAGTAGTAGTTTCAATGATTCTTTTTTTGTTGGAAAGAAAGCCCTTCAGTATTGATATTTGAAGAAAATATTCCACCTCTAAAGGTGGCAACCGATTTCAATAAAATTTGGCAAATAGATGTAATTCCACGAACTTTTGAGGTCGGTTTTTCATAAAAAAAAGTTACAAGTATATGTCATACATTTGACTCTAGTTTAATAAATAATATTTAATATTCTATATTTTTTAATTTGGTTTTAGTAACAGACGAAAAAAAGTTTTTCCAAGTGGAGAAGGTAACTGATATAGACCTCAATCTTACGACGTACAAGGACAGTCATCTGCGTTATTTTATGTACCAACGCAACCGTTACGTTTGGATCAACGATCAGTCTAGTTTTGTTAATGTTCAGGCTCTGAATGAGAGGGTCACAATGGGTTTCCTCTTGGAAAACATATCTGGTATTAACAAACGTCAACAACAAGAACTGTAAGTACTTAACCGACTTAACCGAGTAAATAATTAACCGACTTTAAAAAAAGGAGGAAGTTCTCAATTCGTCTGTATGTTCTTTTGTATGGATGTTACGCGATAACTCTAACTAATTTGTGAACCTATTTGGATGATTCTTTTTTTTTTATAAGAAAGAGGGTACCTCAATGGTGATCCCATTTAAATTTGAAGAAAATATTCAACCTCTAAAGGTGGCAAACTAGGGGAGGAGTCCGTTTTCGCGCACTTTCCGGTAACCGATTTCAAATGGCAAATAAATGCAATTCCATGAACTTTAGAGGTCGTGTTTTTAGTACTCTGTACTGAGATTATTTTCCAGCATAATCATACTGTTTATTGTTACCTATAGCATGAAATTATACGGACCAAATTCCGCGGAAGTCGAAGTCAAGAGCTACTGGACACTGTTCGTGAATGAAGTTTTTAACCCATTTTACCTGTTCCAAATGTTTTCCATCGTTCTGTGGTCGTTGGACGAGTACTATCAATATGCGACATGCGTTTTCATATTATCCGCATGGTCGTGTATGCAGGCTTTGCATCTAACCAAACAGGTATATATTACAATATAATATATTCTAACTACTAAAGGGTCTTTCAATAAAATGTTTCATTTTGATATGTTGAAAAAAACGAGTATTTTTAAGCGAAATCATCGGATATTCATTTCATTGTAAAGTGGAGGGTATGCCATTAATAATGGAAAACAATATCAGTGAAATGGCCGCCATGCCTGGGCCATATTCTTTTCATAAAATTTTCCATCACCAATTCGCACATTTGTGGCTGTATGTCCTCGATAACTTCACGAATTCCATTCTTGAGGTCTTGAATCGTTTGTGGGCCATTGGCATAGACCTGCGTGCGACACAAACGACGATACCATCGCTCTTTTGCGAAAAAGTTCCCTTGCCGTGTGATTTCTCGAAAAAACGATGATAATTGATCATCGACATCTTTCGACTTTTTTCTTTGAGACTACGTGAAAGATAAGGTCTAAGCCAATGGTCCACAATCGATTCAAGACCTCAAAAGGTGGAATTCGTGAAATTATCGAGGAACAAACAGCCCCAAATGTGCATATTGGTGATGGAAAATTTCATGAAAAGAATAAGGTCCTGAAAGCGTGGCGGCTATTTCACTGATATTGTATAACATCATATGATTTCGCTTAAAAATACTTGTTTTTTTTTTACATATCGAAATGAAACCTCTTATTGGAAGACCCTTTACATATCAATACCCTATACTTATCGGAAAGGTTGATAAATTGCTTTGACCATGAAAATTATGTCATAAAGTTATGAATTGACAATTCAAGAAGAATTACGTGTGTTCATTAAGACATCCAGTTACACAGTTTTTATAATGTTAGTACATTTTATTATACAGTAGTTTCAAGACTTTGTAACATAAGCACCAAAAATCAAAATGGAACCTTTCAAGCTTTACAAAAATTTTAATTCACTTTTGAGGTCCAATATAGAATATTGTTGAACGATTGCCTAATATTTTCCCAACAAACCAGTATCTGTTACAATGACGCATACGATTCGGTATGATAAGGATACAGGTAAATAGTATTGCCAGTGTGTCGTATTTGTTTAATAAAATCAAGGAAAACTTCAGATAATCGTGGTTTGATATGGCGCAGAAGGAGCACAGTTCTTGTTGCAGAACATATACCTAGAACTCCATGGCAATAGGTAGTTTTATGCAATGATGATTTAGTGTAAAGTAGTTAAAAGTCTAAATAGCACAGTAGATATTTTTTCTGATTTACTAATAAGTGGATCTACACTGTTCATAATAAAATTATTTTTATTTTTTTTTATTTAAAAAATGCAACAAAGGAAGTTCACGAACTAACGAGTCTTCGAACATAGACTAAATTAATTTATTATAATTAAAAACCTAAGATTTTCCTAGAATCAAGCTTAGAGCACACTGTAGCCGTATATGTATTGAATAGTTAGCGACATAATTTGTCAATCGTTGAAATTCACTTATCTATAACTATAGCCAAATTCGGTATACATAAAGTGTTTAATAACAATACGTTGCTAAGCAGCCAATGACGGGGCATAGGTAAAGAAAATTTTTGTCAATGCAATGAGCATTTTATTTATTTAGGCTATCTCTACCCATGGCCTGCTGGCGTAATTAGAATTTGAATAGGAAATTAAATTAGGTTATGTAGAAGTAATAATTACCTGGCCAATTATTTTAAAGTTTGCAAAGTATCTATTGATACGTATGATGTACCTCTCAATAAAATAATTAAGTTTTTGATACCTATTAATACTTCCTGCTATAACAGATAGTTGGTAATGGTAGAAGAAAAGAAACAAAATTGTAAGATTTTACTTTACATTCATTTACTATATAATTCAGCATCAACTTCAGAGTTTGAACTTGAATTACAACTCGAGCTTGTTTATGTTTACAATCTCTCCTTTCAAATCGAAAAATTATTAGGGATGACACAGTTTTCTTAATTATTATTACTGGTATGTTTTATGTTGGTTAACTTATTAGTGATTTGAAAATACTACTGAACAGAATTCATCATAGACATGATTTCAAGCTTAGTATATCAATAGCCTAATCGAATTTCGGGGAAAAATAATGAAATTGTGGTAACAGTAAAAAAGTCAGAGGTGAAAACCCTCTGAGGTGAAAATAATGATTTTGTTTGTTGACATTTATTCTATATCGAATTTGGCTAGAGTTGGCAACGATCAGGGCTGCGTTGACATAGTCGTAGGTTGTTAAGTCATGGTTTCTTCCGTGACCGAGTCTATGTTCTCACAGATGAGCAGAAATCTGCATGACATGGCCGGTAATACTAGCAACTTTACGGTGACGGTGCTGCGACCATCACGTGGTGGCCGCGAGGAGTGTGTTGTTAATGCCACTAGACTGGTGCCTGGAGACGTCTTGGTGTTACCACCAGATGGCCTTGTCATGCCTTGCGACGCTTTGCTCTTGACGGGCTCGTGCATTGTTAATGAGAGCATGCTTACTGGTACGTTGGACTAATAATAAAGGATTATTATTAAAAGGACACAATACATTATTTGTACATATAATGTGATAATAATTTAAAATGTTTCTTTTTTATAAAATTTCGCATAATTTGTTTTAATACATACTTTGTTTTTGATAGTATGTTTTTAAATGTTTTTACATGCTTCCGTCTACTACATTCGTACACCTCGTGCCTTCATTAATATGAACTTTTGAGTAGGCACCAAAACAGAATTACCTACTAGAAATAATTATACGACAATCTATGATTATAGCCTTATTTTATCGGAGTAGCCAAAGTTGCCCAAAATGAGTTTTTAAATATATGTTTATCTTTTAGGTGAAAGCGTCCCAGTAATGAAAGGACCGCCTTGCCCTTCAACGGAGGTGTATTGTAAAGACAGTCATAAACGACATACACTTTTTGCCGGTACTCATATCATCCAGACACGATTCTATGGAAATAATCAGGTATTTACAGTTTATTTTAACTTGGTTTATTTTTAAAAGGACACAATACATTATTTGTATTCTACATAAAGACAACCAATATTCTTAAATGCATAATATTAGTTATTTGAGACTAATTTATTTTTACGTTTCAATGTTTTTTTATAATATCAAGTAACGGGACGAACAAGATCCATAACAGTTGCATTGCTACTGCGCGCGTCATCCTGAGATATAAGTTGCCAAGCCCCATGTACCTGTAATTTCACCAGCACCCTTACCCTTCAAAACCGGATATGTAAGGATTTGTTATACAGTGCACGTCAATTAATTGTATGAACGTACATAATATAACGTAATTATGATCTACTAACTGTTGCTGGTAGCATCGTGTGACGATATTCCGATTATCCAGTATTGGTGGTTGGTGGTCCGATTACCCTGTTTGTTCTCTCGCTAAATAAATTTCATTTACTGTCACGATTTTGTCATCTGCCCTGGTGCGCACTGTACCTTACAGTAAATCACCGATTGTTCGCTCTCTGCACTTTCTTAATGCGCTTTTCGTGTCTGCATCAGACTGCCATGTTTTAGCAATTTAGCAAGCAGATGTGAGATGTAATGTGAGAGTGGCTGTGTGTGATCAATGTTTGAGGTTTTGCGAGAGGATAGATGATCGTCTGTCTTCTGTGAACTACTAGTATTATATTATTTAGTGTGAATTTCACAGTGCCTTGATAATTTATAGTAATGCTGTGTAATTGTACGAAATAAATAAACAATAAGTATTATTTGTTTTAAAATATTATTATTTGTTATTAGGTTCTGGCTAAAGTGTTACGCACTGGTTTTTACACCGCTAAAGGAGAGCTGATTAGAAGCATTTTGTTCCCCAAGAAGTTCGAGTTCCAGTTCCATAAGGACGCAGCAAAATTTGTCTTTTTCATGGTCGTGATTGCCGCTGTTGGCATGTCGTACGCCATCAGTCTCTATGTGCAGCGAGGGGTGAGAACTTGTTTTTATCTTTCCATCCTGATTAATTGAAAATAATAATATTGTAATTTACATTAATGGAAACTGAAAGTAATTATGTATAACCATGAAGATTGGAAAGAACCAACTTCTGTTACACTTTGTTTTTTTTTAATTATTTTCTATTTCGTAGTCATTCTATACTCTAACCAAATTTGATATAGACTGTTTAATAACAAAACGTTGATAGGCAACAAATGATAGCAGGTGTAAAGAACATTTTGTTGTCAATGCTTATTATGCGGGTCTGCCCACGATCTGCTCGCGTAATTCGAATTTAAATAGGTAAATAGGTAATTAGGTTACGTAGAAGTAATACTTACCTAGCCAAATATTATAAAGTTTGCAAATACCTATTGATACGTATTATTTATGAATAAAGTAATTCAGTTTTTGATATATATTAACACTCACTGCTAGGTATTAGGTAACGGTAGATGAAAAAAAAACAAAATTCTAAGATTTTGTTTTATATTAATTTACTACATTACTTGAATTGACTAGTAATTCGAATGTTTGCAATCTCTCCCTTCAAATCAAACAATCATTAGGCATGATACAGTTTCATAAATACTTATTAATTAATAACTGGTAATTTTGATTTTGATTTCAAACCACTTACTAGTGATTTTAGACTTCTGTTGAAATTGATCACAGTCGTAATTCCATGAAAGTTTTATTTATTGTCAATAGTCTAATCAGATTTCAGGGAAAAATATTGTAATTGTGGTAACTGTAAAACAGCCTGAAATGAAAACCTTAAAAATCATATGTTTTTGTTTGTTGACATTTGTTCTGCATCCAATTTATCTAGACTATGGAACGTGTTGTAAAGAACATTTTCCATAAGCATGTCTTTGAAATAACGTTATAGTGTAAATAAATATTCCTACTTCTAGAGCAACTTATACACAATGATCTTGCGTACATTGGATATCGTCACGATCGTGGTTCCGCCTGCCCTACCCGCTGCCATGACCGCCGGCATCGTGTCCAATCAGCGGCGTTTGCGGAAGAACAAGATCTTCTGCCTCTCCCCACCCAGAATCATTATCTCGGGGAAGCTACAAGTTATGTGCTTCGATAAGGTACGATATAGAGATATTACTGTGAGTGAGAAACCTTGAGGTAAAAATTTGCATAGGGACACCACATTTTTCACGAGTCTCATTAATTATAGAATTTTGCTTTACAATGGACAAGCTCTATCCCAGTCTGTATATTTTAGCAGCCATAAATAAAGCGGAAACAAGGAGTGTAAAACGGATTGCCATAGCCCCGACTATTATGAGGGTAAAGGTTAGACTAGATTACTTCCCCATCCTGGAGAACCAAAAATCGCGCCTCTTTGACATGGGGATCCGAAGTGCCCCCCGGTAAATAAAATTTGAATACTTTAAACTTTGTGCAAATTTTAAGACACCTAAACTGATTGTACAACATTGCTCCTTGACTAATTAACCCGTCACGCTTCCTAGAGACACGGTGTCTAATACGCAACTGTTTTCATCCATCATTAAAAAAAACGTATAAAAATTTATCAAATATTTGTAAAAAAAAGCTTTAAACAAAATCGTTAGGGACACCGTGTGTCTATGACGCTTAACGGGTTAATTATATACTCAGACTATGGACTGGCGTGTCGCTTATCACCAAGCGCATGACTTGTTCGTCCCGTCACTAGGTATCATAAAAAAATTTAAAAAACTGTTTTATAAGTGTTCCACGAGAGTATAGAGTTTTTGCCTATTTAAGTCTATGACGATATTGCAAATTGCTCGGCGTCGAAAAGCGTGTATCAATTTGATCATAATCATTCAAAAATCTTGAGTAATATGATTTTTAATAAACATTTCACTTATGTTCATTAACACTATCGTATTACAAAAATACGCAAGCATCACTGTAAGCGAAATTTCCGTTTACTCGTTACAATATAAGTAATTGGATTTTCTTAGTATTGAATAATGATTTAAAAAAACTTAAGAGTATTGAAAATCATATCGAAATACGTTTATCTTTTTAGACTGGAACTCTCACTGAAGACGGTCTGGATTTTTACGCGGTGATCCCCAATTACACGGGCGAACGATTCGGCAGACGCGTCGTAGACGTCAATTTGCTGTCAGCCAAAAGTCCACTTGTCCAAGCTTTGGCGTCCTGCCATTCCCTCACGAGCATTCAAGGGCAGCTCAAGGGAGACCCTCTTGATCTAAAAATGTTCGAGTTCACTCAGTGGGTGAGTACTATAATGTCTACGTGATATAATTTTTCTAAGATAAATAGATACTATAGAATAGACACTATCCTAACGCACTTTAGTACTACAATACAGTTCTTTGGAAAACCATGACGCATAACTTTTTCAGAATTGCTATTTAAATTTAGATGATGTAAACTTATTACGTTTGCATTGTCGACCACACTGTACTTCCCAGAATTTTCACAATGTCGATAACTTGTGTTTTTATCACTTCCATATTTTTTTAGGACTAGCAAATTTTGATCTCCAATTCTAATACAGCTCATTCGTGATGAAAGGTCTTGATAATTTTGGTGGTGATTATCTGTTCAGATACTTGAAGAACCCGGACCGGAAAACACACGGTACGATAACTTAACACCTGCTATTGTGAAGCCCGCAACTGCCCAAGATGAAAATCTGCAAAATTTAGAAAACTATGATCCTTTTACTATGGAGATGCCATATGAGGTAAAAGCTTAGTGGTAATCTTACGCTCTGTTCACATCAACATTTTGTTAAACACTTTACGATTACAATTACCAATCAGGTAATGCATCGTGCATCCCGATAAACACTTAACAATGATAATTTTCAGGTTGGTTTGCTGCGAAGATTTCATTTCTCTTCGTCGCAGCAGTCAATGGGCGTTATTGCTAGAGTGCTGGGTCAACCTCAAATGGTGTATTTTGTAAAGGGTGCTCCTGAAAAGGTAAAGCCAATAAAAGCCAATATATGCAATTGAAATAAGTTATAAACGGAGATGGGTAGTGGGTTAAAATCTAATCTACCCGCCCGGGTTTCTACCGAAAGCGTCGTTTTAATCCACTTCTGCCCAAAATCGTAGGCAGAACAGTGAATACGGAATACGGAATAATTTTTATTACAAATTTCGATGTAAAAAATATTCCATACAACACTCGCCTTGCAATCATGTGGATTCTCACTACTAAGGATGCACATTACATTTCCATTTTTACGAAAATCGATTCAAGTGTATACGATTTAACGATTTTTTGTATCGAATTTTTTCAAGTGAACTGATTCAACAGAAAGGCAAATGTTGATCTTTTAGATGAGAAAGCAGTAAAGATTTTGTAATAGTATAATTAATTTTAATCGAAACCGATTTACAACAAATATTAATTAAAATAATTTTCTCTGGTTATAAATTTTAATACGCTGAAACGCAGAGAGAAATACTCCACAGTCCATGGTCCATGTGTCGTTCTCAGAGCATTGCAATTTATGCGTTATAATATACATTGTTAAATTTAATGGACTCAGCCTTCTCATGTGCCGGTTTGCGCTGGCCCTGTGTTTATTATTTTTTTTTTGTAAATACCGTCCCTTTCAGACGGTCTGGTGGTAAATGTTTATCTATTTTTTTAGGTCGCGAGCATGTGCAGTCCAGAATCGTTGCCAGAAAACTTCAATACCATTCTTAATGAGTACACTTCGAACGGTTTCCGTGTTATTGGCCTTGCGCATAAGAAATTGGATCGCAAAATGAAGTGGGCTTCAGCCCAGAAAGTGAAACGAGACACACTTGAGTGTGACATGGTGTTCCTAGGCTTTCTAGTCATGCAAAACAGCCTGAAGCCCGAGACCACTCAAGTCATCAAGGAGCTTCATGAGGCAAACATGAGGCAGGTTATGGTTACAGGTTTGTAACAAATGTGTAAAAGTAAAAATATTAGGTTAATTTTAATTTATTTATTAGTTACAAAAGCATTAAACATCGTTACTCTACACTCTTAAATCTAAAAAGATTTGTATGAGTGTTACAACTTCTGTTAACACGAAAAAATTATGAAGGCAACCACCGACTCATCGCCGCCGTCGCAGCAAAGCGCATTAATATTTAACCATTCTTTAGCATTTTTATTTGAAATAATCTGAAACGGTTGAGATTTGTTGCTGTTAGTGTGGTTTGTTAATAATTGTTATTTCTAGGCGACAACATAATGACTGCAATGTCTGTGGCGCGCGGGTGTTTCATGGTGCAGCCGCATCAGAAGGTGTTACTCATCACTCTCAGTGGACAGATTGCGATGGATAACCGACCCGGTCTTAATATGGAGGTATATTACACATTTAAACATTTACTGTACTTGTCTGTCGTATTTCAAGAGATTAAATGGACGTGTAGGTAAGCAAAAAGGATCCAATCCACAAAATTATCAAAAATGAGTTATATGTCCGAAACGGTTCCTAAAGTCTAACCTCTTAGATCAGCAAAAAAAATTCAACATATAAACGTAAATGAATATCTCTGGAGTTACATGACATTATAAATTTTGAAAATAAAACAAGAGTGCGAAACTGAATTTTGACTGTGTATGAAAAAGTAACGAGAAAGGTCACTCTCTGCCCCTCCCTGGCTTTCTTTCTTGTTTTTTGGCTCCCTACAAGACTGTTAGCGAGCCGTTCGCTGAGGACGATTTTGATTGAAATGTAGAATTTTAAATGTACTGCGATTTCATAACAGATTAGCTATTTTTTTAGACACACACACACACACACGGACACACACACGCACGCGCACACGCACGCGCACGCGCACGCGCACACGCACAGGGGGAGAGGGAGAGGGGGAGGGGAAAAGAGAAAGAGAGAGAGAGAGAGGGAGAGAGAGAGAGAGAGAGAGAG